ATTTTTCCTCGCAGTCACTTGTTGTAAAAGCATACATTAAACTCTTTGTAAACTATAAAGATCTCTTTAAATGTATATGACTATTTCTCAGTCCAAATTTGCTTTCTAGAGTCAAGTTAATATTCCCCCAGTTATCAAATGTAATAGTCTAAAGCACCCATGAAACAATTAGTCATATACCAATTTATACAGAAGATAATACAATAAAAACACGTTTTAGAAATATATGACATCTAATTTCTCGTGAAATATGTATTTTTAGGGGAAAAAAATTGTCACCAAGATATCATGACCTGTTTAAAAAAAAAAAAAAAGTAAAAAGTAAAAATGGGCCCTCCCTGGTGGTGCAGAGGGTTAAAGCACAGTACTAAGAAGCTGAAGCCACTTCTGCATGAGTTCGTTCCTGGCCCCGGAGAAGATCCACATGGTACAGCAGACCTCTCCTGACCCACCTGCTGCTCCCCTCAGCAGTGTACTTTGTCAATCTGCCTGCCCTGCTCCCCACTCTGTCTCTGGTGAATCCTCTCTCTGACACCACACCTCTGGCCTGTATCCCAGTTCTGTATGCACAAATAAATAAATCTTTAAAAAAAAAAAAAGCAAAGACAGGGAGTAGATATTTATGACAGTTATGACAGTTTTCCCCCAGACTTTAATCGTTTTCCTTGTTGTCTTTGGAAATTAACTTTGCCTTTACCTCTGATTGCCAGGATATGAAGATAATAATGTTTGAAATATTTACTTTCTGGATTTTCAAGGTTTGGGGATGCAAATTCTCTAAATATCTTATTTCTTAAGTTTTTGCTGATTAGAACCAACTTGATTACAATTTTATGTATATCTTCTCAATGACAGTAGATACTTCTGATAGTGATAGTTGGTGATAGTATTGAATATCTTGATTCTCTGGATAGTATCAGGCTTGAGGCCAGAAATGAGCAGTGTGATTCAGCGGGGTCAGGAATGACACAGGTGTCTCCATTTATATTAGATAAACTGGTAGTGGTGAGGGAGAAAGGGGGTGTACTTTGGAGTAAGACAGAATGGAAAAATGCTTAAATTTGTATGTGAAAAACTTAAATGATTTCATTATTCCCATAATTTAAAAACATTAGCAAATCAAAGCACAGATACCTCAAACTTGCCTTGGTGCAGATTTCAGCCCATAGATGGTCAAATTGCAATTCTGAGTTTAATAGTGCAAGTTTCTATATCCAGATCCGTGTCTGCATTCTCGGAACAATTCGGCCTATCAAACTAACTTTGTAGATGCCCATTTACTCATAGAACCAGCTAAGGAAAAATATGTGGGGACAGTTACCATTTGAGGAATATAACCCTTGTTCATTCTAACTTCCCTTTTTTAGATTCACACAATTTAAAGTTTAAAAAGTGAATCTTTATGCTATTTCTTGGTTGAAAACTTTATCCTCTGTAATGCAGTTGAAGAAAATGGTCTTCATGGTTTTATAAACCTAAATAGTATTCTTTTAAATTTATTATTTTTACACATGAAGTGTTCATGTTCTTTACCTTTTCACTTTTTATGTCTGTAATCCCTTTCTTGACAAACAGGGAGGAAAATTGACTATACTACCTAGATACTGCTAACCATATTTTACTAAAAATGTAAGAGCAAACAAAATGATTTGTTTTCATATTGAACTTTATATGTCTAATTAAAAAAAATGGCAGAAACAGTATCTTCATTCCTTACCTCCTAGAATTGTTATAAGGTTAAATGACAGAGTATATTTCAGGACACAAGAAAATGTCTTTTTATTGTCATTTTATTTTAAAAGAACATTTCATGTTAAACAACCTTAGCTGCAAAATAATAAAACAATTTTGCAAAATTTGAATGCATTGTGCAAATAAAATGCCTTGCTTTGTTCTCCTGTAGTCTTAATATCTGCTTTAGACATGTATCATTATTTTTCATCCTTGTTTGTTTTCTACCTATAGCTTTTCACCCATCAGTTGTGATCACTATAGTTTTCCTACCACCAGATTATCCATTGTTTTCTTTTCATTTATATTGACGCTGTTTTGATGCAGGGAGAAAGATTGTTTTACCATATTGCCAATTTGCATAAGGAAATTTATTAATGATGATAATGTAATCTTGATTACAGACCAGGATTTGCTAGCTTCTTTATTTTAACTCTATCTGGTTGCATTTATGTATTAAATATTCCATGTATTTACATTTATAGAATTATGTTGATATCAGTTTAACCTACATTTTAGAGTTGACTGCTGCTTTATAAACTTAGCAACATTCTTGTGTTTCTTGCTAAATTAGAGTGGTATATTTTAGTTAACTTTTAGTTCCACATAAAATTACTTTATTTGTAACAGTGTTGTGAAAGAACTACGTAGAGATTTAAGCCTATGTTGGGTGTCTCATCATTCACTCAAGAAACATCCAACATCTCAAATGCTTTCTTGTCATACTTGGACTTATAACTCAGAACAGGAAAGAACCAGTTCTTACACTCATAGAGAAAACATGCTCTTGTGCACAAAGAATACAATTAACAAGGCAGCAAATAATTTGATGGAGATATTAGCTTTGAAGAAAATGAAACAAAATGTACTGAAAAACAAATTAGAAATATAAGTGATTTTAATAAGGTAACAGAGATATAATTTAGTCTTGTTGGGCCAGAAAGGCATCTTCAAGGGAATATACATGTGTACATTGTATGTGTTTTATCTTAAAAATCAAGAATGATCAATGGAAAATGAAAAATGACAATCCCTGAAGTCAAAATAGAAGCACAAGAATAAGTGGGAACAAGGTAGCTATCTTGAGGAAGAAAAATAAGGCCATGTGTTTAGAAAAGCTGAACAAATTATATAATTATCATTTCTTCTTGGCACAAAGAGTAATTAGCAATAGTTGAAACTTCTTGAAGAATGTTTTATTCATCAAGTGTTTTGTTGCATCATCATTCATAGATTCTCATATTCAGATATATCTGATAGGAATCGGCTTGAAGTGTCACTGTAGATCTCTGCAGACAGAATTGCTGATGGTTGCAGAAGAGTACTTAAGGTTTCTCTTAATTCAGTCAATTATTTTATATATAGAGAAAGATTTTTTATATACATTCATATAGCTGTTAATAGTCACAATCCCCACAAAGATCCAGTGAAAAATGAGAATTTAAAGGATTCTGAGCACCATGATACCTGAGAAACCTCAAAGGCTGTTTGCTTTTATACGGTGATACTTCATTGTGATAAGGTCTAATATTTCTAGTGGAGGTGGATAGCATGATTCTTAGAACTATATGCAGAATGCAATGCAGTTAGGTGGATGTATGTGTTACCTGGAAATAACCTTAGTGATCATTCTGATCTACCATCCTGTGAGGACAGTGTCCTCCTTTCCAGCTGGAAGCCCTATGAAACATATTTCCTCAATGGTAAATGCAGTATATGGCATGCAGAATAGAATTCATAAATATTTTTGTAAAAATAATTACATCATCTTATAATCTCAAATTTCAGTAATCTTGAGGGGAAAATAATGCTAAATGAGCACCATTTGCACCACTCTATACATTTTACATGTATGAGCATTGACTTGATACTGTAAATACTTTTGTCTAATTCAGAGATTACCCAGTCTCAAATGCAGATGGACCTATGACCTTGAGCAAGATCGATACCGCTTTGGCATCCAATCAGTAGTCTCTCAGGAGTCTCTATACCATGAGGCCATTTTCCTACATTTGGTTTTACAATCTGTGTCTGAAACCCTGCTCTGTAATTGTAAAAACTGAAAATCATAGGTACTATTTGCTAATATTAGTGTGGTTCTTTGCAAGATGACCTCTTTCATTACTCAGAAAAAAATATTAAGGTTATTCTTCAAAAATTCTTTCAATTATATTGTTTTAATTGAGGTCATATTAGTTTACATCACTGTATGTGATTTAAGGGTACACAGTAATTCTGCTTCAGATGTATATTATCACACCATACCCATTATCAAGGTTCTCAGAATCCTCAGTAGAGGATTTCTCTCGTTGCCTATGTTCTAGTCTTATTTCTAGGACAGTATATCACTTTTAATTTTTTAATTTTTATGGGGGCCCATTATATAACCATGAGTAGAATAAATAATAACTAATATCTGTGATCAGGATACTTTTAATTTAAAAAAAGGTTAAATCGAAATATATTCATATATATATATATATATATATAGTGTATGATTCAGTAATCCCATTCCTATTCTTGCACATTTCTTCAAAAAGTGAGAAGTCTCAGGAAATCAGATTTTTTAGTTATATAAGATCAATATTAATATGTAATCTGTGATTTTTAAATAAACATGCTTTGTTATGAAAACAAGATACTAGTCATTCTCATATTTGCTGCCCATATTATTGAATATACAATTAATTTATCTAACCTGAAGTAAAACATTTTGTCATAAATTGTGACTAAATGTTTGCTGAATGTTGTTGCTAAAGCAGCTTATCCGTCATAAATTTGCACAGAATGGGTAAAGTGCCAGGTTGAGAGTTTTAGTTCTAACTTTGCATTCTGATTTTCTCTGAGCAAAGCGTTTTACTAGACCATCAGCTTCCTCATCTGTGAAATCACAAATCATGATTCAGAGGATTTTGTCAGTGACGCCATGAATGAAAGTTTGTCTTTTTTTTTTTTTTAAATGGTGACACAACATATAATTTCTGATTTTTTTTCCCTTATTAATACATCAGAACGGTTTGTATCCATATAGAAAACAAAAGTAATAGATAATATAACAGCTAGGGAGCATAGCGAGCAGACATGAAATTAGTGAACAAGTTAGTATCACCTTTAATCTAAGTAACTGCACTTTATGATTGAACCTTGTGTGTTTCTTGTTTAAGGTGAAATATACAGATGAGGAAGAGAAACTGGAAGGTGAACACTTAGCCTTATTTTTCTAAATAAAACCAATATTATTTAATAAGGCCTGTCTATATTCTACACAGGTATGACATCAAAGATGATTACACACTGAGAATCAAAAAGGCTCTGAGTACAGATGAAGGCTCCTACATGTGTATTGCTGAGAATCGTGTTGGCAAAGTGGAGGCCGCAGCTACCCTAACAGTGCGAGGTAAGACACTTAGGCTGTGAGACGTAATTGAACAGGAAGACTCTTTTTGGTTATTGGTAAGTGAACTCACAATCAAAACAAAAGCTGAAACTGTTTTATCATAGTAAAAGGCTAGATTTATGTCTGTTCTGTTACTAATGGAAATATAATTACTTTAAATTTGGGCTCATCAAGATCATTTGAAGGGACTTGTATTTAGTAACTAATAGCTCAGACAGTTTAAATGTATGTCTTCAGATAGAAAGTATTTTACACTAATCTTCTGCATTTTCACTACTTTGAGTGATTTACTGCTTTTAAATAATACTAGTTCCAAAGCTTGGTTTTCTGGTTGCTGGATTGACACTTCCCCTACTAGAATCCTGTTTTGAAATACTTTTTATTTATTTATTTATTTCTGCATTCAAAAAGCAACTTGGAAAGAAAAAAAAAATAGAGCTTACACTATTTCTAACAGCAAAAATGAATGGCGCACCCACATTGAGATAATCTGATTTAGAGAGTGACTCGTGAAGTTCATTGGCCTTAAATAATTGAAATAGTCAGTGCTGCTCCTGTAATAACTTCACTTTCCAGATGTCATGCACCTTCTCAGTCACAGGATAATGTTCTTTAACAGACTCACTGGAATTGCTTGTAAGTGAAAGAAAGCATTACTTACCTCTAAAATGAGTTAGAATGAATTAACTGTCTTCCTGTGGAACATGTTGATCCACACGAATAAATTATATAGCCCAAGGTATCACGTCGTACCATGTAGACAGTTACTCTTGCCAAGCAAACATTACCCACAGCATCATTTATACTCGCAGGACTTTATAGAGAATTGGGCAAGCACATTGCCTGTTGCTCAGTTTTAAACCTTTCTTCCACCACCCTAATGGATGTCTCCTTCAATTCCTCATGATAAGTATGGTTGTCTGTTTTCTTCCAGATCTCAGTTACATCTTACCTCTTAACCCTTGCATAGCATTGCTTCAAGAAACATGGATTTCATGAGATTAGGATTAGGGTTTGGAGGAATTTTTTAATCAGGAGAAACAAGTCAGGGATTTCCAGCTTGGTTCTTCCTCTGGTAAGAAAGATCTAAAGTTAGGGCATCCAAAAAATACATACATACATATATATACATGTATGTATGTATGTATGTATGTATATCTTTGTCTGAGTAACTATTAAGATGCAGCCACTCTGGATACCTGGAAAAGCATTGGAGGCTTCAATCCTCCTCCACCTAATCTGCGTTCCCCCCATGCAGATTTAGATAGAAAAGAAATATAGAATTGATGAGCTAATTATTGGAAAACATTTCCATTAAGAGACATTTTGTATGTGAGCATGCATTCTCACATATATTTGTTTGCAGTTGTCTAAGCAGTCCTCTGCAAAACAGTGCCCTTGACCACATTTCCCCAAAGTATGTTTGCTTGTTTATTTGTTTCTGTAGTGACTGGGGGGAAAAAGAAAAAAAAAACAAAAAACAATCAGCCAAGGAAAATTTCATTCAAAACATATTTGCTAACTATAAGCAAGTGGTGAGAAAAATGTGAAGAGTTGTTTGTTTCTGGAAGCACTGGGGGTGCCTTTATACTTGAATAATTGGGTGAATGAAACTTCCAGATGTCAGTTTGCTTTATGATCTTTCCCATCTAATTGTTTTCATAATTTGTTGAAAGTTTCAGGTTTTACATTTTCTTTAAATAGGTATCCTCCTCCTTGTGCCTTTGTGTTTAAGGCTAATTTACAAAATTTATGGGAAGTTATTTACTTTTCATAAGAATTGAAACAAAGTCAACAAACCTTAAATAACCTTCCCCCTAAATGGATTAGAGTTTAATCTTTATAGTGTGTATTTATGATAAATGAGGTATTTTTGACTAATGATAAATGAGGTATTTTTGACTAATACCTCAAAAACAGAACTAAAGAAAAAAATTCCTTATAGTATAAAATGCGATGTAATTTTTTTTTTTAACCATTAGAAGTGAATTGGTATTTCTCAGAATAACAGTTGATACATTACCTGTGACTTGATTTTTTTTCGATGCACAAAAATGAAATATTCAGCCCTTCCTTGGATTGTTATATTTGATGGGATCAACTCACCCAAGAGTCTGTTTTCATTTTCATCCATTTCATGCAGGGACACCATTTAACATAATTTGCTGATTTTGAAAACTCCACCTACTGGATGTATTTCAGGATGAAATGTTACTCTGTAACAAAAACAGGAATTGTCACTGTAATGTTTCTGCTAACATTTTACCATGTTGTTCTCTTTAGCCAAGTGGATAAAAGCAAACCAAACTCTATAGTAAAAAAAAAAAAAAAAAATCTACAAGAAAGATCCTCTCAGTTGTTCTCCATTTCAAGCAAATGGTAAAACAGACAGTAAAAATAATCTTAATACCAAGTTGCTCCTTTTGTTGACTTAACCAACATAAAAATTAGAAGGAACTAATGCTCAACAATAATCAACCTCCCAATTTCCTCTAGTAGCACTTTTTCTAAGAGGGTTCACAAAGAACACAAACTACATATTTGGAAATACAATTCTACCATTTTTTTCAGTTGCTTAAATTGACTTTTAATAAAGACTTTGTCTAAAAAACTAGTGTTTGTCCCATGGTAATAAAGCATTAAGTTTTTTAATTACCTTGGGCCAAGTGAAAAAGATGTATATTTCATTTTTTTAAAAACATGGTTACTTCTTTTTTCTCTCTCTTTAATATTACAGATTCAAAATATAGACACCATATAGATACACAAAATGCCTTGTGTTTCTAAAGGGAACATGATGTTTGAGATTCAGGTTGAGTTGCCACCTAAAAAATACAAACTCAAAAGTAGAAAAAAATATTTTTCTATTGGACATTGGAAAAATTAAGAGGAATCTCATCAGTTAAGCTAAGACACAATTTCATGTGTTTAGTCTATAATTTGTTGTCTTCGGCTGGTATTTTTATATATCCTCCCACATTAAAAAAAAGGAAGCAAATTATGAGTGGAACAAATTCTCAAGTATCTTGCATCTAGTAAACTCATATATACTATAGAATAGGCACACTAGAATTTCACTAAGCTGGAATTTCCATAGGACTGTTGTAATTGTTTTGTTCTAGGTATTCCTCAGTCTTCCCCTTTCCATTGTGAATAACATTGCAAGACAATGAATCTCACAGAGCGATAATGCCAGCACTTTTTTCTAAGATATATATAGTATAATTATACTTTTTGAATGTATTCATGGCTGTCAGTATGGTTTCAGTGGCTATGTTAGCCCACTGTGCTAGAGATGTATCCACCCTACCATAAATTGTAGAATCACATTATGTATGGACTAGGACTTTTCCGCAGGAATATGGTAATACACTATTTGAACACATACTTTGAATGTAAGATTTCATAAAAAGTTCAAATGTCACTACATACATTTCTTCTTCAATTGTATAATGAGATTTTATGTTTTATATTTGTCCATTGCCTTTATATAAAGTGGTTTACTATCTAAATTGACTCGGTATAATTCTATTTAAAGAAAGTGTTATTATTACGGCCTGTGTGTCTCTTGCAATATCTATGACATAATGCTAGAGGTCAAGATTTACAACATTTGTATCCTAATCAAATCACTCATACTCTAATGAATTTTTAAAAATGAGTCAGAAGTGACTTTACACAAACTACATAACAGTTGTGTTTATAATTGTGTGAATTGGTTTTGTATGAGTAAATACTAATTTGGAAATATGAGAAAATTGTCTATTAATATAAACAAAAAATACTTTAAAAAAAGTTTCCTAGACTAAGTGAAAAAAAAATCATTGTTATGAGCATGATTTGGCACCATGTTTTCTCTTCTCTTTTTCTTTAATATTATAGCCTGTTACACTGATTTTAGTGATTGAAAGTTATGATATAATAGAAAATAATTTGTTGAAACAGCAGTTTGAAAGCCATGCTCAGTATGAACAAGAATCAACTTGTCAGTCATTGTTTCCTGCCCTCTGCCAAAAAAACAAAAAAAAAACAAAAACAAAAACAAACAAAAAAAAAAAAAACAAGCTTAACAGTAGTTAGTGAGCTACTCAGTTGAAATCTCTAAGGATGTTCCAACCTATTTGTTATATTTTCATCCACCCTGTCCATGGATGAAAAGTGATGTGATCTTAACTTATTACTGGCTGAAAAGCAGCAGCAGGAGCTTTTAGTAGTTCTTGTAATGGTACTGACTAACCATGCTTAAAATCCAATTGCTATTTAAATCAGACAGTGAAGCCTTCTTTTATTGACATGACATTTGCTAGTCTGTGACTTGAATAGTTATATTCATCAGGTTCTTAACTTTGGTGTAACACTAGACTGCTTAACCCTAAAAAGATCTTTAAGGTAATAGCTATAGTAAGTCACTATGAAAACTTTACTTAAAATATCTCTACAATTGCTATTGTCAGTCCTGGATGCAAAATGATTATATTCTTAGAATTACATGTATAACTTTCAGCTTTGTCAAATTCAGACATCCTGTTCATATTTGAATTATGAGACAAGAAATCACTCTACTGTCCATACTTAAATGTAGCATTACACATCATGCATTCTGATAATTTTCTTTTCTTTCTTTTTTTTTTAATTTCTTCTTTATGTTCTCACCACACCATTGTAATGTCTTCAGCTCGCCCTGTTGGTAAGTAGCCATCCTTCTATCCATTTCGCATGGCTTTGTACAATGCTTCATAACTCATGCATAGTAGGGTTTGACAAAATGAAATATATGTATTCACCCGTTAAAATATTACTTGTGGGACTATCTGTTATAAAAGTTGCTCCTAATCTTTTATTCACTTCGATAAACCATCTTTATAGTAACCTTTGCTATGCAGCAATGAAGAAGTAACAATTTTTGTTAAAGATATATTGATGGTTATTATCATAGACTATTAATTTTCACTACCTCCATTTTTTCTTATATGTATGTATCAATTATTGATTTATTTGATATTCATTAAGATAAAAGATTATGAACTAAATTAACGAGCTTGATTTTTTTTTTTTTTTTGCAATTCTATGTTAAGCTGCTCAGTGCCCAGATTTTTAAGGGTATTTTTAATTGCAGCATACTTCTTATCTGCATGCCTAATAATAAAATTAGAAGACCAAGTTGTTGTCAGTAGGTAATAAGAGGAAAAGAGGGGAATGAGCTGTGTTCTTTGGCATGAGAAGTTTGTGGTTTTATTATAGCTCATCCTTCATTTGGCTTTGCAAAACTGAAGTTAACAGCTTGCGCTTGCAATAATTTAAGTAGTAATTATTTGTAAACATTTGGAAGATAAATCTTTTCAAAGTCATTGATTTAATAACCTTTCTGCATCTCCTTTCAAAGTTTAGCTTAATCTATCAATAAATGTGTTTAAACAAAAGGAATATTGGGAATTGCGTTGTAAGTAAATAATTGGATGGATGAATGCAATAGTGAATGAATGAATGAATTTGCAGCTTAGTTTCTTCAATATATCAAGAGACTCTTTAGTAAGATTCAATTTGATACACCTTCATAAATTTCTTATCTAACTTTTAAAACTTTCTTTATAAAGTAGTTTAACTTCATTGAATTTGATATAGGTTGGTTCAAAGTCACAATATTTCCCTCCATTGGTTGAAATAATCACACACTTTACTATTAATTAGTATATTTCCACATGTTTATAAAGAATAGTAGGTAGACTTTTGGTGCCACAGCTATATTTCGGTTCTGTCATTTCTGTCACTCCCTTTGCCAGTTATTTAATATTCCTAATTATCAGCAACTTTACGTATAAAGTCAAGAGGATAATACTACCTATCAAATTCATTGCAGGAGTGAATTGAGTTCAAGTTTTATCATATATGTGAAAATGTTTCATATATCAACAGTGGTTAAAATTTCTAGTTTCTAAAAGTTATTTGATATTTTAATATGTTTAAATATAGTTATGACTTATACTCAATTTGAACTTGAACTGCAGTTATTTTTCTTGAAATAACTATTAAAGTAAGCATGCTTTTTCCAATTAATGTGACAAAATTGGGAATATGTCAATTTTTAAATTTCATTGTTGTAGGGATTATATTAATAATTACAGCTAAAATTAAGAAGAGAAAGGCAAAGAATATAGGAATAATATTGCAAATTAATGTAAATTATTTTTATATATAAGGTAATAAACATGGTCACTTGGTTTATGTTTTTTCATAAGTGCCTATAACTGAATGGTGTCATTGATTTCCAATCTATTTAAAATTCATAAATAAAAAAATACATTTATTGAACAGTGTGATGTGCAGAGAGTATTGAGATGAATTTGTCATTTCGCAGCAATTCAAGTTATTTCTGTGTTTTTTGTTTGAAATGATTTCTTAAATCCCCATTAAATTGAAACTAAAGAATAGAATCTTGACACCTTGTACTTTTCTAGGAAAGTCTGTCATTTCATAAATCTATCTCAAATCTTTTTGACAATGTTCAGAAATATAAAAAAATAGACTTTAAACTTGACAACTACTGTTAATTTTGGAAACTGTATGTTAGATATGATCTCATTGGCTTGTCATAGAGAAAACTGATAATGAGGAAATTAGTCTGCTTTTTCTTTACAACTTTTATGTTAATTTAAATTCAGGAACTCTAGATATTTTGACTTTTATTGTAAGGCCAGAAGGGACATCAATTAAAATAATGAATTAAATATTCAAATATTAGAAAATGACATTAATGTTAGTATTTTGTGGACTGAAGAGTGTTTTAACATTTAACAATAACATAAATATTGTTCTACAAACTAGATACCACAAAATGAGGAGAAAATATACCTTTTAATTCCAAAGTCATTATTAGGTGAAATAATTTGTGCTAAATTTATACAATTTAGAAAAAATCAGGGAGTACTTTATGCCCAAAGTTTGCAAAACAAAATTAGATGAGGGGAGAGAGGGCCCATGACCTATGGTAAAGGATGTGGGTGTTTTGATGGTGGGGCAGTGTGATGGCAGATACCTGAAGAAATATGAACCTAGGCATAGGGTATTTTAAACCAAGTTTACTTCAATCAACAAATTGATTTATTAATTATTTATTGATTTAATTAATTTATAATTAATTTATAATTATTTATTATTTATTATTTATTAATTTAATAAAGAAATATATGCAGCTGTACAAATTTACAGTTCAATAATTAATCACCACATTACATTAATGAATAAATGTTGAGAGAAAGCCCATTTAGAAAACCTTATAAACCCTCAAAGTAGAAGTTTTATCTCCAAATTATGGCATTTATAAGCTGCATATTCATTAAAGGATTGGTAGCATGGTACAGTGTACAGTGGGAATAAAGACCTCTGACTTGTACTTTTGGAGTGGAGCAACAAGTCTTGATTGAATGGATCTCACTGTAGGAAATGTTATTGAAAGAAAACAATCAGCTGGGCCTAAGGAGGATCACATTCATTAGATTTCACTCCCTCATCTGAAATATCATCACAGTCTCTTACACAGCTGTTAGTCCCACTCCCATACTTGCTGATTAAAATATCCAGACAGTCCCTTCCTCGTGCCACAATAGGTTAGGACACAGCACTGCAAGCTAGCGGCAGCAGTTTCAGTCTGAGGTCGATCCCTGCCTTGGAGGTGACTCACATGGTGTGACAGACCTCTCCTGACCCTCCCACTGCTCTCCACCCACTGCATTGTACTTCGTAGATCTGCTCCCCACTCTGTTTCTGGTGAAGGCTTTCAGCACCCCTGCAACTATGGCCTGTACCCCAGTTCCGTATGCATAAATACATAAACATTTAAA